CTAAAAACTATCTATTGCAACGATTATTTATTCAAGTAGTACGATCTAACACCGTTGCAATAGTACTTTTGCAATGATACTTTAGGCTATAGCAACGACTATTAGGAACTATTGTAACGGTTATTTGGGGTCATTGCAACGGTTATTTTGGGCTATTACGATGGTTTTATTATCTATTACAACAGTTTGTAGAGACTATTGCAACGGTTTATGGAACCTATTATAGCGGTGTAATATAAAACAACGATGCATTGATTACCTATATAATGAAATATACCATACTAAAATTTATATTAATTGCGAAGGAATTATTCGTCAACATAGCATACTCCAAAATACTCTACTAGTATTATCCACATATAAATGGAAAAATACATATTGTGTGATAATTCAGGAGCTAGCATACATAAGTTTGCAAAAAGTTCTTACTATAAAAGATTCCTAGAGCATGTGACGATCAACCAATTGTTTAAGTAAGGTCTTCACTCTTTTGTCTTCCCTTGTTCATTTGCTTTACCTACAAAAATAATAACTGAATAATTCAACAAAATTTTTACAAGAAAATTTTCTCAATACATGTATACTAATGTCAAGTCACGTCATAAAAGAGCTAGATAAAGAAAAAGGCAAATACAGAAGTTACAAGCTAATACAAACATGACTAAAGGAAAGTATTTTGGTTGTATTAAAAAATTAACAAAAAAATAGATCTTTAATTTGTTTCGACCATGTCAGAGAGATTAACACAAAATCCTAAGACTTGTAGATTGGCCTGATTATAAGGCTCGTTATTTTTTTAACTGGTGTCAAAGTAAAGGCACATTATATTTGTTTTAGTCAGTCCATCAAATAAGTTCTTGTAATTAGGATGATGTCAACAAAAAGAAATACAATAAATAATCCAAATTGAAAATTACAAAGTTACTAGACAGGAATTTGATAATCTTTGTTCCAAATAGAATTCACTAATTTCAGGCTATGTTAGCCAGAAGAACCTATTCTTGTACTCTGCGTGCAGGAATGAATTATTTACAAGTAATAAGCTTTACTTTTGCAAGTAAAAGCTTAGTTGATGCTAGTTGTAAGACTTAGCCAGAACAACCTATTAGTTTCTAAAAGTAGTTGCTCGAGTATATATATATATATATATATATATATATATATATATATATATATATATATATATATATATATATATATATATATATATATATATAATGAATGAACTGTATTTGGTCCGTTAAAGACAGCCTTAGTTGGATTCACTTCAGAAGACAAGAAAAATACTCAATTCATAGTGAAGTTATATATATATACATATATATATATATACATACATACATATACATACAATGAATGAACTGTATTTGGTCCGTTAAAGACAGTCTTAGTTGGATTCACTTCAGAAGACAAGAAAAATACTCAATTCATAGTGAAGTTAAATGTGAGAATTTAAGGAAATATAGACTCTTATGAACCACGATCTTGCCTTTTGAACAACTCTCCAACCGACCAAATCTAGCAAATATAGTTCAAATAATTCAAAAAAGGCTTTAGAAAATACCCATGGGTGAAAAAAGATTTAATCTTTAATAATTTTGAAAAAAGCCAACAAAAATCAACCCTAGGCTCGCTTGATCAAAACCTATGATTTGGACCAAAATCCGTTACCCACTCACCCCCGAGCTTGGTTATGTGATTTATTTTGAAATCCGACCTCAATTCGAGGTCTAAATCTCAATTTTGCAAAAACTCTTAATTCTACCAAATCCCTAATTTCTACCATGAAAATCCTAGATTTGATGTTGAAATCTCATGAAATGTTATGGGTAATTGAAAAAAAAAAATTAATTAAAGTCACTTACCAATGAATTTGAGAAGAAAAGTCTCGTGAAAAATTACATCTAGAGTGTTTAGGGTTGAGAAATGATGTGAAATGAGCTAAGTCCCATTTTCCCCCTCTTTTACAAAGTTGCAGGTGTTGCAATTGCGAAGTCATGTTCGCAATTGCAAACACCGCAAATGCGAGACAAGGGTCGCAAATGCGAACCCTGTCATAGAGGCCCCAGATGTCACAATTGCGACATTTAGCACGCAAGTGCGAACTCCCAACCTTCGCAAATGCGGACCTTTCCTTCACAAATGTGAAGATAACTCAAGAACACACTGAGTCGCAAGTGCGATTCTAAGATCGCAAATGCGACCTCTGATAGTTTGCAAATGCGAAATCTTCCTCAGAAATTCTAGGTTGCCCATTCTAGCTTATGCTCGTAAATGCAAACACTTGTTCGCAAAAGTGAGGCTTGAAATTGTGAGACTGATCTGCAGCAGAACACCAGCAACAGAAGTGCGCCAGCAATTCCAATCTCAACCAAAGTCATTCGAAATACGTCTGAAACTCTCCCGAGCCCCTCGGGCTCCAAACAAACATGCACATAAGTGTAATAACATCATACAAACTTGCTCACACGATCAAATACCAAAACAATACCTAGAACTACGAATCAGACATCCAAATGCATGAAATGTTTTTAAAGAACTCAAGAACTTTCAAATTCACAACCGAGTGTCCAAATCATACCAAATCAACTCCTTTTTACACCAAATTTAGCAGTCAAGTTGTAAATAATAAAATGAACCTATACCAAGTTTAGGAACCGAAATTCAAATTGGATAGCAACAAAGTCAACCTACGGTCAAACCTAGAAATTTTTTAAACCTTAAAATTACTAATTTTCAACAAATCACGTTAAATCAAGTTAGGGACTTTCGAATTCAATTCTGGGCATACGCCCAAGTCCAAAATTATGATACGGACCCACCGCAATCATCAAAATTCCGATCTGAGTCCGTTTACATAACATATTGAGCGTAGTCAACTCAAATTATTTTTTAAGGCTAAAATTCACATTTTCTTCAGGTTTTCACCTAAAAACTTTTCAGAAAAAGACGCGGACTGCGCACACAAATGAAGAATCGCTATACGAAGCTAATCGAGGTCTTAGAATACCGAAATAAATTCTAGAACTCAGAATAACCTATCGGGTCTATCATAAATACTTTTGGTGCTTCATCTCTTTACCTGTGCACATTCCCTCAAGCAAATCTCATGTTTCTGACATTCCTTTGTTACTTTTCAACGTTCTTGTATTGCTTTGTCGTATTTGGATTTACATGATTTCTTCACTTTTTATTAAGTAAAAATAAAATGTATCAATATATTTCATATTTTATGGACCAATATGTGGGGATCGGGATCGGGCTCAGCCCGGGCGACACACATCTAGTACCTTGAGTAAAATTTAAGGTTTGAGACATTATCGATAATTAGTTATCAGTTCAGTTTTTTTGGTTGACTTTAAAGAAAGTGATTTTGTTTCTTCTTTTTTATTGGTGGCCGTGATGTGAAAAAATTCAATGTTAGGGTCACTATTATTAAGCCAAATGATGTTAGATCTAATCCTCTAGTAATATTCTTTTATCTTAAGGATATTACTATAATATACTAAATAGGTTTTTTTTAATTGTTGAATGAATATAATAATAGGAATATTACTAGAATTCTGGACGTCATTCAATCTTGCTAGCAACCTTTTCTCTTTTTCGGGAAAAGGTTCCCAAATGGTAACTCTCATCTTTCTGGACGAGGCTCCTCTCCATTTTTCGTTCTCTCCTTATTCTCAAATTTCTATTTGGGTTTGTGACACTTGTTCTACAGTTAAATACCATTTTTCCAATTGAACAAGTATCATGTCCAAAGGTATAAAAAGTTATGTATCATATACTCATCTTTTCATAAGAAGAAGTTATTTAGTACTTCACCATATAAGGCATGCGTTTACTCAAAGCATTACTGGTATTTAATCCAAGGTCAAGATATATCTCGATGGACCACACGAATACTTACTGTCCTTTCAATTTTTTCTTTTTTTTTTTCTTTTTTTTTCCCTCCTAAATCCTACATTTTCGGCATGAATATCAGGTAGATCCCTACTAGTGCAAATAACAAAATGAACATGACCATTCATTCTATAACAAGGTATTTAGACACTTAAGTCGGTCTAAGGGAACTTATCATTTTTTTCTTAAATCTAAAAGATGGATAATATATTACCACATTTTCTTTATGCAATTATAACATGGTAAAATGCAAAATTTTATTTTTCTCAAAAAAATGTTGAAGCGTTCTCTACTTTAAAAATCTACTCCTTTGTGATTGTTAGGAGAAGCCTTTGGTCCATGCATAGTCGTACATGCTCAAAAAATGACTTAAAGAATTGAGATATTTAGATCTCGCCATTTTTTCCAGTCCTGCCCCAGCCTTCTCCTTTATCTGCCTCTACTTTTACATAGGAGGATTATGCAGAGAAAATGGAAGGGCCAGGACAGCAAGAATTGAACCCCACACCTATTATGTGATAGATTCACGTCAGTTACACTAACAGTACCCTAATTAGACAGTATTTAGAGGCTATTTAACAAATTTCTATGCTTTCTTCTTATAAATTTAGACCAATTCCTTCCCAAAATATTTGTATCCCATTTTCAAATGAAATAAAGTTGTTTAAGGAAAAGTTTTAGTAGCTTGGAAGATGCTTAAATAACCTTGGACCATATTCACATCCGCATGCTCAAGAAAATAAAAGGATATTCGTTTACAATATATAAGGTCAAGAAAAGCATGCTATTGAAGTTTGGAGCAATTGTAGCAATAGCTAGCTAGGGTGACCACCCCAAAATGGCATCTAATATAGCAATGAACTGTATGGTAGCTTACATTTGATAAGAAAGCTAATTTTCAACTTACAGACAAAAATATCAAATTGCAAGCTAATTCTCAACACAGACAAAAACAAGCAAATTGCATCTTCTGACTTCAATTTATATCATTCATATATACATGCAAAGGCATATAAGCCACTTCCACAAGTGGATTAGCGTTTTGAAATTTCAGCCACTAAATTTACTATCACTTCTCCTATAAATTGGTCATACAAACACCTAAGTTGAGTAACACAATTTCCTACAATAACAGCTTAGTTATCAGTTGTCAAAAAAAAAAATTGTCATGGCTTTAGCAAAAAATTTCTTGGTTTCTCTTTTGTTTGCACTAATTGCAACACATGTTGCAGTAGCCCAAGTAGGAGGACTTCTCAGTGGCCTCCTTGGTCCAATACATATAGATGGGGTTCTATTTTGCAGCCTTAACGGCCAAATAGATATCATCAATGGAACCACCACCCCAGTTTTCCCTAGTAAGTTCATTATTTTGTACGTAGATAAGTACCGCATATATATATATATATATATATATATATATATATATATATATATATATATATATATGCAAAAAATGTTGGGGTCAGTATGAATCCTCTCTTCTTTCTTTAAGTTCAACTCATACCATCATGTTCATGCCAAAATAATATAAGAATAGTAGTAGATCTAAAATATTTTCAGGTATTGAGTTGAGTGAATCCTGCACTCGCTGTCAATAAACTATATATAGCCCCACGATTATAACATTTATCACATTCATAAAAAGTTTCTGCATGTTGAATTGTGTGACCATCTCATCTAAAGGCTTAAACTGTTAGATGCTATACTCTTATTTACATAACTATATCTCCAACTTGTTCCTTCACATGTGAGCCTCGTTTATCTTTGCAGACGCATTAGTGCAGCTGCGGTGTGGAGCAGGAAATGTTGTATCAAGTACCACAACAAATGGATCAGGAGTGTTTTCCCTCGTGTTGGATCCTCTTCAAAATATTTTGTCATCGCTACTATCCAACTGCAGTCTGGTGGTTACAACTCCGCTCTCAACATGTAATGCGAGCTTACCATCCATCGGGCTTTTGCAGTCACCTTTGCAGCTAGTTGGGAAAACCCTAGTTGGCCTTCTTAGTACTGTCAATTTAGGTGCTACTGGTTTTCAGCTTCTTCCTAATCTCATTTGAACGAGCTAGCCAAAATGTTAGTCGTTAGTCTATATATGTTGGATAATTTGTTTGCTAAGTGTTGCTTACAAAATGTTCTGTAGTGATGCATCAGCAAGAGTTAACCTAGTTGCCCTGTTGCTGATTGCATGAATAAGGATTGTTGTTGTTTCCACGTACTAGTGATGTAATTGTTTGAATGTATTCCTTTCTTGTTGGAGTGTTATGAATATGGAGTTGTCATTAATCAATTGTGATTAATAAAATGCAAATAATTTATGCAACTGTAATATTGGAGCCATTTAATAGTATTTGATCGAGTTTTTATTTTATTTATAGCTTTTTCTTGTTTGTTACCCCTTCTTTGTTTTCTTTTATATATGAAGCTTCTCTTTTGTGAATATATATCTTTATATTCCAAAAAAGTGGCAATATATTATTCGCTCAGAGATATTTTTAAGAATTTTCTATGATCTTTTATCACAACCCAAGCTCACAGCACATATTGTTTGTTTTAGGTTTAGGCCTATTCGAATTTGTCGGGCTATGCCATATCGAGCCCCAAAAGCGTGCATACCATATGAATTTGTGTCATGCCTTATAAAGATCTTCACTTTTCTTTCTTATTTTGATGTGGGATTCGCCTAAAATAACATGTGCATCCCTTCTTCGAAATTAGCATAGAAGTCTTGACTTGTCCTCGTTGGCCCGCCTTCTATCATGGGAGTCACATCTATAGAATTGTTGCTTAATTTCCTCATTGCTGCATTCTAATTACAAGAGAAATAAATGCCTCGAGGAATAGAAGCATAGTAAGACGAATCAAAATATTCTTGTGATTATTCCTACAGAATTGCATTTCTTAGGAGACAAATGAACCATAACAATTCAACGTCTTTAGCTGAAAACAGAAAGCTTTCCACACAGTTATTACTTGAAATCTTTTAATCTTTTAGTGACAATTTAGATCTTTAGACAAATAATCCATTTTCCTTCTCATTTCATTGCTGAGACATCAATTACTCCTTTTTTTAAATACTAAAACTTACATATTCAGAAACTATATGGAGTAATTTTACGTTGGAGTATGAACTATGATTTTTAAGAAATTAAAATTATTTTAATACAAGTTTTATGAAAATCATAGTTAACTAAAATAATGTCCAACTTTGGAAAAACTGAATTTTCTTTTTCCTGAATTGATCTGAAGCGTAGAAGTGCAAGAAAAACAAAAAAGGGTATCTACCGCATTCAAACTATATATGGTTATATTTTAAGTACATTGCAAATGTTGGCTATACTTTAAACAACAGTCCTAAAAGTGGCTTCTCCACTTTTTTGCTTGGGAAAATGACATTATATAGCCGTTCTCAAAATAATAGTCGAAACAATATATATATATATATATATATATATATATATATATATATATATATATATATATATATATTGTATATTATACACAAATTTTATATATTTTTTTGACTACCAAATATAAATAATTGTTGGCGTGGGCTAAAAGTACAGGAACCCCTTTTTGCTTCTACTCGCACTCCCAAACCCCCACCGTCATTCCATCCTACCCAGACAAAACTGGGTTTGAAAATAGAATGAAAGATAATATTACTCCCTCCGTTTAAATTTATGTGAACTTATTTGACTGGGCACGGAGTCTAAGAAAAAATGAAGCCTTTTCGAATTTGTGGTCCTAATTAAACAAAGCAAAAAGGGGCCCAGATTATTTGTGTGGTTATAAAAGCTTCTCATTAAGGGTAGAATTGTAAGTTTAAGCTCAATTGTTACCAAATTTAGAAAGGGGTCATTCTTTTTGGAATGGACCAAAAGAAATAGGTTCATATAAAGTGGAACGGAGGGAATACTATGTTTGTTCTTAATATAAACATTTTATTTTGCAGAAATTGAGCAACAATTAGTTGGGAATTTTGTTTAGTGTGGTTGGCTGATTGTTTGAACTTTTACCTTGCCAGTGGAAGGTTCAATTCTTCACCTCTATAATTCTCTCTCGCATATGTACAACAAAAAAAATTAACATAGAAGAAAAAAATCCCATTAGCTTAAATTGAGACAATATAAGATAGTTTGACTCTTGTAACTCAAACCCAATATTTTTTCTTTCCAGAAAGAATTTTGTTTTTCCAGTTTCTCTTGAAGTATTTCTTTTGTTGATTTAGTTGTCAAGTATACTTTTTCTTGTAACTATAAAATTTCATTAATTATCAAGTAAAATATTTATAAATCCAACTAGACTTTATAGCTCAGTGTTAGACCTCCGCCACTTTGAACTCGACTTGACAACAAGAGTGTTGTCATGAGGCAGCAAAAGTGTTGCAAAGCTAGGTGCACGAGTAGCACCAAAATCAAAAAGGGAAACGGGCAAGTGATGGCCAAGGCTTTGACGGAGGCGAGGCAGCTTGGCAAGGGCTTGACAATGAGTTGCGGGCTAAGGGTGACACTTGATCATGACTAAGGCATCAAGGCATGAGGCATTGATGCCAAGGCAAGGCAGAAACGATGAGGCAAAGGCAAGCAAATGTGCAACGGGAAGGCAGTGCGCGAGCAGACTTGTCATGGCATTGAGTTGCGGCAAACGGGCCAAGTTCGTGGGCGATAGCAAGGCAAATTGTGGCACAATGCAGCTGGATACAATGGTATTGGAGCCTGGTCCAAGCCAAGGCACGAAATTGGGCAACAAGTCTTGGATTGACAAAGTCAAAGGCGGTTACGACACATGTTGTGCACATGGGCAGCAGTTAGCATTGTCCTAAAAAGCTGGCAGGAGTGTTAGCATGTTTTTGGGGCCATGATCCCACTATCTTTTAGCATGATTTACATGATCCTAGTAGTTGGGGCTGTCAACTACACTAGACTAAAGTAGTGGGCTGAGTGGGCAAGTGTTTAAGCCTAAAAATGGGCAACTATTGTGTAAATGGGGCTGGTTCATGTTTTATAAATGGGCAGCAGCTATTCCCTTTTGTGGCATAGAGTTAAAAACGTGTAAGAGTGCATATCTTGAGTTAGGAAGAGTCCTAAACCTGTTTTCCAGAGTGAAAACAACCTAAGGCTAAGAGTAGTCTTGTGAGGGTCAAGAATGATCTTTATTTTTGTACACGGATGTACTTCGAGTTGAGTTTCTTTGTATGCTCGAGTTAAATACAAAGTTGGGAAAAGAGTTTCCTGTATATTGTTCCTTTTGTTCACTTTAATTTTCTGTCCCTTCACTATATTTTCGTTGCATAAAATCAGTATCTACTTACTACGTTGAAAAGCTGCCTAAATAATTCTAAGTCCAAAGTTACAGAATTTTGGCCGAGTGTTGGAGCAGGCTGAAGTCAAGCCGAGTCTTGGCTGCCGCGCGGGCTATTTTTTGTGAGACGTAAAATGCGCCCGTGACAATAGGTATCAGAGCGGAGCAGGTTCGTGACGGAGACACGACGTGCAGTGGCAGATTTCGTGGTCTTGTTTGAGAACATGGCCGGTAGTAACAATGAACTGCGGGAAAGGCTAACAAAACTGGAAGCATTGGTGGGAAATGTTCCTGAAGGTGAAGAACTTCAGTCTCTCGTGACAAGACTTGAATATCTTGAGGCAGAAATGGCAAGGCTTAGTCAAGAGAACGCAGGTCTGAAGGCCGAGACAGTGATGCTGCGACGTGCTGTGGTCGAGGATGCTCCTCAACGAGGTGCTGAACGTCTCAAGGTGAGAATTCCTGAACCTAAGGCATTCGGAGGTGCAAGGAGTGCACGTGAATTGAAGAATTTTCTTTGGGATATGGAGCAGTACTTTCATGCTATTCGTGTGCAAGACGAAGAGGAGAAAGTAACCTTGACTAGCATGTATTTGAGTGATGATGCTAAGTTATGGTGGCGCACTCGTGTGGCTGAAGATGAAAGTCTTGGTAGACCAAAAATTGAGTCGTGCGAGCGGCTTAAAAAGGAATTGAAGGATCAGTTCCTTCCTAGCAATACGTCTTGGATTGCTAGGGAGAAACTGAAAAAGTTGAAACACACCGGATCAGTTAGAGCATATGTGAAAGAGTTCACATCTTCGATGCTGAGCATCAGCAACATGTCGGAAGAAGACAAGTTGCACAACTTCATGAGTGGGTTGCAACAGTGGGCACAACTTGAGTTGTGAAGGCAGAATATTCAAAATCTCGCAAGTGTTGTGGCTGCGGCGGATGCATTGGGCGATTTTCACATAAGTGAGGAGATTTCTGCTTCAAAGTCCAACGACGGAAAGAAGGACAAGGCTAAGGAGTGGAAGAAATGTGAAAGTGGCATGCACATGAAGATAAGGGGAAGGGAAAGCAAGAGGCTGGAACTTCAAAGAGCAAGGAGAAGGGCAACAAATTCAGTGGTTGTTTCCTTTGTGATGGACCACATCGAGCGAGGGACTGTCTGAACAAGGCAGTGTTAAATGCTATGACTGCCGCAGAGAAGAGGGCTGCATTGGAGGCGCTGAACAGTGACAAACAAGCTGTTGGTGTCAATGCAATTGTAGTTGAAGAGAAAAGGGGCCAAGGGGCATTGCTTGTCAACCCCTTAGGGCTTATAAATTGAGTTAACCTCGACGAGGACGTCGAGTTTCAACGGGTGTGGGTCGTTTGTTAGACCTCCGCCACTTTGAGCTAGACTTGACAACAAGAGTGTTGTCATGAGGCAGCAAGAGTGTTGCAAAGCTAGGTGCACGAGTAGCACCAAAGTCAAAAAGGGAAACGGGCAAGTGATGGCCAAGGCTTTGACGGAGGCGAGGCAGCTTGGCAAGGGCTTGACAATGAGTTGCGGGCTAAGGGTGACACTTGATCATGACTAAGGCATTAAGGCATGAGGCATTGATGCCAAGGCAAGGCAGAAACGATGAGGCAAAGGCAAGCAAATGTGCAACGGGAAGGCAGTGCGTGGGCAGACTTGTCATGGCATTGAGTTGCGACAAATGGGCCAAGTTCGTGGGCGATGGCAAGGCAAATTGTGGCACAATGCAGCTGGATACAATGGCATTGGATCCTGGTCCAAGCCAAGGCACGAAATTGGGCAGCAAGTCTTGGTTTGACAAAGTCAAAGGCGGTTACGGCACATGCTGTGCACATGGGCAGTGTTGATGCCCCCTTTTTCTAAAGGCGAAATCGGGTTTACGACATTTGGGCAGACAACTCTATTCCTTTTGGGAATTTGGGTTTTTGAGATTTAGAAGAGTCGCCACCTAATGATTGAGTGCATTAGGACACCAAGGAATAAAAAAAGAAAAGAACCAGAGAACAGGTAAGGGCTTG